ACAAGGTCTCCCTGTAGCCCCAGCTGTCCTGGAACTCACTATGTAGACCAGGCTGGCCTTGAATTCACAGAGATCCGCCTGCCTCTGCATGCACCACCACGCCCTGTAACTTATTTATTTTTATTTTATGTGTATGACTATTTTTCCTATATGTATGTAAGTGCACCCATTGATTGCAGAGGTCAGAAGAGGGCATTGGGTCTTCTGAAATTGCAGTCACAGACAGTTGTTAGCTGCTATGTGAGTACTGGGAATGCAGATCTCCACAGCAGCCAGGGCTCTTAACCACTGAACCATCTCTCCAGCCCTGAATTACAACCATTTTAGAGATAATATCCTCTGAGACCTTCTAGCAAAATGAGTAAAAGCTATCTTTGTGGCATGAAATTCACATACTGCAACAGACAGTAAAAAAGAAATTAGGGGCTGGAGAGATGGCTCAGCGGTTAAGAGCACTGCTCTTGCACAGGACCAGGGTTTGATTCCCAGCACGTATATGGTGGCTAACAACCACCCCAACTCCAGTTCCAGGGGATCCCATGCCCTCTTCTGACCTTTGTGAGCATTGTACAACATGAGTGCACTAACATGCATGCAGACAATACACTCATACACATAAAAATAATTAATAAATTAAAAAAAAATTAGTCCCAGCTTAAAACAGCAATTTTAAACATTATGTTGTCCATATACATAGTGAGGATGTTTTTAAAATCTACAGGGAACCAAATATCAAACTGTAGTGGTATAGGCCAGAAATAATTTCACCTAATGGGGCTTGGAGGTATTCTAACTCAGTGATACCAACAGGGACTCAGACTTTTCCCATCCCTCTACTTTTGTTACTCTTGACCACAGCAAAGCTACTGCAGCTCCAACATCATGTCTCCATAGGACTTTGACAGCTTTCAGTGAGATGAGATCCAAGGGCTTTCTTTTGTTAGAAACCTCCAGCTTTCATACTGTCTCCTTGGCCAGAATAGGTTCACATGACATCCTCAGGGCTAAGAAAACCAGTGTCTGGCAAGGAGATAAAAATAACCATGCTCAGCTTGGACCAGATTTCTTTCTCATTGCTGTGGTTAAAATACTCTGACCAGCTGGGTGTGGAGGCGCATGCCTTTAATCCCATCACTCTGGAGGCAGAGGCAGGTGGATCCTCTGAGCTCAAGGCCAGCCTGGTCTACAGAGTGAGTTCAAGGCAGCTGGAGCTACAGGGAGACCCCGTCCCAAAAAGACCAAAAAAAAACAAAAAAAAAAAAAAAAAAAAAAACATACTCTGATCAAAGAAAAGAAGTTTTGGTTTACAGTTGCAGAGATACAGTCCATCGTGGTAGGGAAGGTGGGGTGTCAGGAGCAGGAAGCTAGCTATCACATGCATCTGCAGTTAGGAGACAGAACACAGGGAATATGGCTAGGCAGTGAAACCCAGGACCCACTCCAAGTGACATACTTTCTCTAGAATTTCTCTACTTCCTAAAGGTCCCACAACCTTCTAAAACAGCACCATTGGCTAGGAACCAAGCCAGCAAGTGTTTCAAACACATGAACTTTAGGGGCTGTTTCACATTAAAACTACACCACCATACCACAAAGCATTTCTTCCAACCAAAGCAAAACAAATAAAACAAAGCAGAGGCAAAGCACCTTCCCGCGCCCTCTCCGTGGGGACCATAGAGCACGCTCTGCAAGCACCTCACTAAACTGAGCTGGCCTGTGTGGGGGTGCAGAGCCTACATTATCACCTCATCAGCAATCAGGAAATTTATGAATAAAACAATTTTATCAAGTAGCGAAATCCTATTCTTTGCAATTGATAGTTATATAAAATGCATAAATTCTTAATTACATATCCTTGAAGAAGAGATTAGTGTCTCATTGTGTGAGGACCATTTTTTTTGTTAGTTTTTTATGAGTGTTTGCTTGCATGTATGTAAATACACCCATGCATGCAATGCCTGTAGAGGTCAAAAGAGGGTGTTGAATCCCCTGGAACTGGAGTTATGTCTAGTTGTGAGCTGCCATGTGGGTGTTGGGAATGGAACTCAGGTCTATGCAAGAACAGCCAGTACTTTTAACTGGTAAGCCATTGCTCGAGCCCTTGAGGATCAATTTTTGAAATCAGAAATGATTATTCTGAGATTGGAAACACTTAATAAACCCCGAAGACTGTAATGTACTTAATTTCCATGTCCAAGTAGACAGAAAATTTCATTCTAAATTTTTCTTTTTTGGTCTTTTTGAGACAGGCTCTCTCTGTAGCCCCAGCTGTCCTGGAACTCACTATGTAGACCAGGCTGGCCTTGAACTCACAGAGATCCAGCTGCCTCTGCCTCCCTAATGCTGGGATTAAAGGCATGCGCCGCCTGGCTAAAATTTTATTATTTAAAAAAAATGATTTAAAGCTGGTTGTTTGAAGCCTCAACCACATAGTGAGTTCAAGACCAGCCTGGTCTACATGAGTCCTTTTCTAGGGAGGGACGGAGGGAGGGAGGGACTTGGTTAAATAATAAGCAAATTTAACAAAGACCAGATTCTACCTAGATTCTGTAGCTTTGAAAAAATGTAGAGACAGAGAGAGAGAGAGAGAGAATGGCTCAGCAGTTAAGAGCACTGGCTGCTTTTGCAGAGGACCTGGGTTTGCTTCCCAAGCACTCCCACTGTGGCTAACAACAGTCTGTAATTCCAGTTCCAGGGGATCCAGTGCCCTCTTCTGACCTCTTCAGGCATGCACAACACAAATGAACCTACATACATGCAGGCAAAACAGTCATATACATAAAATAAAAAATAAATAAATGGTTCAAAGACTTGTCAGGATGAAAGTCTTGGGTAAACAACAAAAAAAAATTAGGTATTTATCACTGAGTAGTCCACTCTTCACCATACTGAGGCTGGAACCCAGGGTTAGGCAATCTCAGGAAAGCACTCTACCACTCAGGTCCACCCCCAGTCCTAGATATTTTTTGCCAGCTATACAGAAGTATTGAAGAGTAGTGATACTTTCGAATCAAAATTCTGTTTTGTTCTGTGTGTGTTTTTGAGACATAGTATCCCTATAGCCCCAGCTGACCTTGAACTGGCTGACTTCGATCTCACAGAGATCTATCTGCCTCGCCCTCCCAAGTGCTGGCATTAAAGGTGTGCACCACCACACTTGGCTTTAATGAAAATTCTAAGCTTGGGAGGAAAACTTAATTTGAGTGCTGTTTTATAATCATATTTCCTTAGAATGCCATAAAGTAATGTTTATTCTTGCAGTCTAGAAGAAGTCCAAAGCGCCCTGCACAGCAAGGAGATGGACTGTCATCGAATGACTGAGGAAGTTGAGCGAACCAGAACTTTGGAGTCAAGAGCATTCCAGGAAAAGGAGCAACTGCGGTCAAAATTGGAAGAAATGTATGAAGAGAGAGAGAGAACATTACAGGTGTGGAGGTTTTCCATGGTGCTTAGACTAACTGAATAAATAGATTTGGCAAAACCCTCCTTTCTGCCTTTGTGCATCTCAGGTCCAGTTTCTCTAGTGTGCAGAGATAGTGCTCACAGGTTCTGGGGACCTGGACTCCCTCTCTTACTTGCTGTGCTCTTGGAAGAGGAGATGTAATTTGATCTTCCCATCCTTGGATTGACAGGAAATGGACGTACTGAGGAAGCAGCTGGAATATCTTGCTGAGGAAAATGGAAAGCTAATAGGTCATCAAAACCTACATCAGAAGATTCAGTACGTAGTGAGACTGAAGAAGGAAAACATCAGGCTTGCTGAGGTAAACTGAAAACTTACCAATTAATTCATGATGGTTTTTAAATGATTATTAAAATTAAACTCTTTGAATTTGCCATAATTTTTGTTTGTTTGTTTCTGTTTCTTGAAGCAGACCTCACTTTATAGCCCAGGCTGATCTGGAACTCATAGCAATTCTCCTGCTTCAGCCTCCCCAGTGCTAGAATTATAGGTATGAGCCATCATACCCAATAATTAAGTCATAATCAGTTAAATTCACACAGATGCCAGATTTTATTTAATATTAATTTACAAATTGAACACTATAGCTTTAATTTTAAAATTTAGTGAAATTTAGTGAAAATCAAGAGAAAGCTCCTAATAAATTAAGAGAATTAATTTCCCCCCTTTTCTCCTTTAAATTACTTACAGGAGACAGAAAAGTTGCGTTGTGAAAATATATTTTTGAAAGAAAAGAAAAAGAATGAATCCTAAAGATCCCAGCCAGCTCCCTAACATCACTTTGGAGATTCTTTAAAAGTAAGATCTACCCTTAACCATTTGGTAGGGCCGAACTAAAGTCCTTCATTTTGAATTATGGTGAGCAAGAACCTGGAATCTTCTGGTGGGCATCCTGCATGCATGTACAAGTCTGCTGTAAAGTGTCTCACAGCCTATTTCAAAGTTTCAAGTCACTTGTAAATTCTAGAAGACCCTTTTGCCCTCTTTAAAATAAAAGCCTGTAGCTGAGGTCTACAGCAAATGTTGGTCAGATCCTTTTCTCCTTAAATAACTTCCTTTGATTAACTTGGTGTGAGTCTGATGCCGAATTGTATAGCAAACTTGTTCATAATAGATTTTTTTATTATGTCATGAGCATTTTTTACATGTCTGTTTTTCAAATAAAATCTCCTTAAAAATCCCTTTTTTTAATGTGTATGACTGTTTTGCCTGCATGTATGTATCATGTATCATGTGCGTGCAGTGCCCATTGAGGCCAGAATACAGCATCTGATCCCTCAGAACTGAAGATATGAACTGTTGTGACCTGCCATGTGGGTGCTGAGAACCAATCCTGGGTCCTTTGCAAGAGTCCTCTTAACTGCTGAGCCATCTTTCAAGCCCTTAAAAAACAATTTTAACAAAGTGATTTATATTATTCATTAATTTGATCATCACTATATACTTAAAGAGCACCTACAGTATGCCAGACACTGGCCATCAGTGAACAATACAAAAACTGTTCTCAGTGAATTTCTTATATCTGAACTACATTCTTTTTTACTGACAATAATACTCTGTTGCATGAATATATCACTTTTTTTTTTTTTTTTTTTTTTTTTTTTTTTTTTTTTTTTTTTTTGGTTGTTTGTTTTTTGAGATGGTCTCCCTGTAGTCCCAGCTGTCCTGGAACTCACTATCTAGACCAGGCTGGTCTTGAACTCACGAGATCCACCTGCCTCTGCCTCCTGAGTGATGGGATTAAAGGTGTGCACCACCACGCCTGGCTCTGGGTATGTCATATTTTATAATTTATTGGATCAACTGTTGTTGGATATTTGTGTTGCTTACATCAGGGCCTTTTACAAGTAATGCTCTATACATGTGAGAATCGTGGTATGGACATAATGGCTTTAACGTAAGTGAATTGATTGCTTGGTCATCTCAGAAGCCTGGGTTTAACTTTTTAAGACATTCCTAACTTTTCTACCTGTACCATTATGCAGTTCTTCCATTGGTCTATTTCTCTCCATCTATACCCATACTTGTTATTGTGAAGTTGGTTTGTTTTACCATAGCCATCTCCCATGGTGTGTAGTGGTATATCACTAGTGACTAAGGCTGTTGAACATTTTCCCATAGTATACAAGTACTACTGATCAATATAAGCAGCAAAACTGATACACTGCTATAACATGAATAGACTTCAGTGAACATGGTAAGTGAAAGCCAGACCCAAAGAAATACAGTTTCAGTTATATGAAATGTCCCAAAGAGGCAAAATGATAGCAAATCATTGGTTTCTTAGGGATGGGATAGAAGTAGGAACAACTGAATGGCATGAGGGAGTGTTTTGAGGTGGATATGTTTTTAAAATAAGTTTATGGTAATGACTGCACAACTCTATAAACTGACTAAAATTCTCTGCAGCACATCAAGAATTTCAGTTCTAAGCCAGGCATGGTGGCGCATGCCTGTAGTCCCAGCACTTGAGAGGCAGAGGCAGGTGGATCTCTGTGAGTTCAAGGCCAACCTGGTCTACATAGTGAGTTCCAGGCCAGCTGGGGATACAGGGAGACCCTGTCTGAAAAAGATCAAAAAAAAAAAAAAAAAAAATTCAGTTCTATCCGAATGGAGGTCTCTGAAAAGAACAGAGGAGAGTATCTCTAGTCCACGCCCTACTTGAGCTGACATGTTCCAAACCATTTTCTTAGCTCCCTCTGTCATTCCTGGACTGTCAGGGTCAGAACTTGGGCCCTGGCAGCCCTAATATGCTAGACTTGGCCACCCATCATTACTCCAGCTACAGAGACAACTAATGATGAAAGTTGAGAAAAGGGATTTATTCAATACAGCCACATTGGGAAGGGAAGCAAATATAGAGGTCTGGTGATACGCACCCCCCCCAAATCCATCTTTGGGGTCTCAACATGAGGTTTAGGTTTAAATAGAGGGCAAAATGTTTGTAATCTAGAGCAGTCCTGGTCAGGATGTGGGCCCACTCACCACTGTTCTTGCTGATCTTTTTTGCAAGGTTGCCTGACAAATTGTCAGAACTGTGTGAAATCTTTCTTGGAGATGGTTCCTCCATTGGCTGGCACAAGGGTTTCAGCCTTTTCTTTCCTTTGCATGAGATTCCTGGGAAAATTCTAGTTCCTTGGTGTCCATTATTTCAATAGTTTGATAGCTGAACAGCTGATAGCTGGCACAGATGTGTCCATTGCAACCAGGGTGGTTACAATCACTGACAGTCCTATATTCTTGTAGATACATCACATGCTGTTTTTGTAGTGCCAGAGATCAAATCCAGGGCCTTATGCATGCTAGGCAAGTACCCTCCTTTACACTACTATTGGATTAGACCCCACTCTAATGATATGACCTTAATTCCATTACATCTGTGATGACTCAATTTCCAAATATCGTCACATATACAGGTGTCATCTTTTTAAAGATTTTTATGTGTGTGTGTCATGTGTGTAGGAGCCCAACCACTAAGCCATCTCTCCAGCCCCACAATTGAGATTTTTGCAAAAAAAACCTGAGGAATCATGGCTTAGGTATACTGCTGCAACAGGGAGGGCCTGACCAGACTTAAGTGTTTACTTGTTTCTGTGAACAGAGAGATATGGAGAAGGAAGAGACTGAGGCTGGTGAAAGAAATGGCAGTAGGTGCTCCTTGTCTAAGTCTCCACAGGTCCCACAGCCTCATACCAGGGCTTCACACTTAAATTCTCTCTACTTTCCATAATGCTTATGTTGTGACTTCACACCTTTTAAGGCGAAGGAGTTTCTTTTTTTTTTTTTTGGTCCTTTTGAGACAGGGTCTCCCTGTCGCCCCAGCTGTCCTGGAACTCACTATGTAGACCAGGCTGGCCTTGAACTCACAGAGATCCGCCTGCCTCTGCCTCCCAAGTGCTGGGATTAGAGGTGTGTGCCACCACACCCGGCCTTAATTGATTTTTTTTTTTAAGTAAATTTGAGATGAGGTATTCTATACCCCCAGAGTGACTACATTGGTGGCTCAGAGATGTTCAATTTCCCAGTGCTTGGAGAGTCAACACTTGTTCTAAGAAAGCTTCTGGTACATTCTGTAGAGAACACTGTATTGATTACGAAGGTTCAAAGGAAGGCAGTTCTCAGAGGGGATCACCTTTGAACTGGAGTTTACTTTTCAACATGAGATGGACCACTGCAAGGTGGCAAAAGGCAAATAAACTCTGAGCCCCTACCCTATTAGCCTACTAAAAGCATTCTTCCAACTGCTTTGTCATAAAGCACCAGAACAGGCTTCAGGGCCGTGATGTTTACAAACGAGGAACCCCCATGACTACTAAAACAACCTAAAGCTAGTGGAGATCTTTTTTTTTTTTTTTTTCTTGAGACAGGGTCTCATGTAACCCAGGCTTTTCTTGAGCTATGTAGCCAAGAATAACCTTGAATTCCTGATCCTCCTGCCTCTACCTCCCAAGTCCTGGGACCATAGGCAATACAACCACCACACCCAGCTTACAAGTGGAGTGTTGAGACAGATATATAAATAACAATCTAAATCAACCCTTTAGCTTTACTTAGTCTTAGTTGGCTTTAAAATCGCCAATTTTAGAGGACACACACCTAGGCAACACACTTGAGCCTCCCACTAGCTTCACTGCAAATACCACCTCTGGTTTCTGAATATGATAACAGTTGCTGAAACATGAAAACCATTTTTGCTAAAAGCACTGTATTACTTTTCTCATTCTGGGACAAAATACCTGAGAGAAACAACTTAGGAGAAACAACTCAGTTTCATGGTGGGGAAGGAATATTTATGGTGGTAGGAGAGTGAGGCAGACTTGCTCACATCACTGATGCTGATCAAGAAACAGACCTGGGTGGGGGCTGGAGAAATGGCTCAGCAGTTAAGAGCACTGACTGCTCTCGCAAAGGACCCAAGTTCAATTCCCAGCACCCACATGGCAGCTAACAACCATCAGTAATGCCAGTTCCAGGGGATCTGATACCCTCTTCTGACTTCCACGGGCATTGCATGACATGAGTGCACCTGCATTCATGCAGGTAATACACTCATACACATAAAATAATAAGTAAAAATTTTTAAAAACAGACCTGGGGTCTGAAATCTAGGAACTATAACCCTCTAGCCACACTCCTACAAACCTAATGGGCCAGCTCTGCCAATGTCCCAAAGGTCCCACAACCTCCCAATACAGCATCACCAGCTGGGAGACCAAGTGTGGAAAGAGTTGAGCCTGTGGAGGGCATTTCACAATCAAACCATAATAATTTTTTTTTCTTTTCTTTTTTGGTCTTTTTGAGACAGGGTCCCCTTGCAGCCCCAGCTGGCCTGGAACTCACTATGTAGACCAGGCAGGCTTTGAATTCACAGAGATCTGCCTGCCTCTATCTCCCAAGTGCTGGGACTACAGGCATGCATTTTTTAAATATTTTTATTATTTTTATGTGTGTGTATTGCCTGTGTGTAAATTAGTGCACCCATGTCGTACAATGCCGCGGAGATCAGAAGAGGGCTTTAGATTCCCCTGGAACTGGAGTTAAGGACGGTTTGCAGCCACCATGTGGGTGCTGGTAATTAAACCCAGGTCCTCTGCAAGAGCAGTCAGTGCTCTTAACCACTGAGTCATCTCTCCAGCTCCATAATAATCATTTTTAAAGAAATATTTTTATGTGTATGAGTGTATTGCTAGCATGTAGGTAGGCACACCTACCTACAGTGCCCAAGGAGATCAGAAGAGGATGTCAGATCCCCTGGAAATGGAGTTATGGATGGTTGGTTGTTAGCCACCACGTAGGTGCTGGGAACCAAACCCAGGTCCTCTGCAAGAGCAGCAAGTGCTCTTAACTGCTGAGCCATCTCTCCAGCCTTCACTAGAGTCTCTAGATATCTGATGGATGACTATAATGTGAAAAAACATTTGGTGTCTCTGTCTTCATATTGTCTGTTCAATCCCCAGGATCCACATAGTGGAAGGAGAAAACCGATTCCTGCAAGTTGTCTTCTGACCTCCATAGTCTCACTGACACACAGAAAATACACAAATGCAAAAAAGAGAGTTTTGGCTAGCCCATTATTTGCTAATGTTGCCCAGGCTGGTCTCCAACCTGCAGTAATCCTCCTGCCTCAGCCTGAGGAGTGCTGGGATGTGTATGATACCATGCCTGGCTGCACGGCCCGCTTCTCGTTTTGAGACAGGGTCTTTTTTTTTTTTTTTTTTTTTTTAAATCTTCACTGTAGCCCTAGCTGGCCTGGAACTCACTATGTAGAGCAGGCTGGTCTTGAACTCACAGAGATGTGCTTGCCTCTGCCTCCCAAGTGCTGGGAGTAAAATTTCCCAGTCTGACCTTAATCTTCCTGCCTCAGCTTTCTGGGTAACTGAAATTACAGAGTAGATGACCTTTTTTTATTTTTAGATGACTTTTCCCATGAAATGAGAAAAAACGTAGGTCCGGAGCGTTCCAGCAGTATTCTCAGCACTTGTCCACAACGGTTCCACCCTCAGTGTACTAGGGTCCCCATAGTGCTCTGCCTCAAGTCGCGGGTCTCCAGATCCATTCCCTGCATCATCGCCTCTGTGAGGTGCAGGCTGGTTTCTGGCTCTGCAAAGCCTGAACTGGGCAGCTCAGGTGAGCGTCCACGCAAAGCTCGGCAGGCTGTCGAGTGCGGGCATGAAGCTGAGCCATTAGGCCTCAGTGCAGGGTCACCAACCACCTAACCCGATCCGCACCCCCCGCGCCACGCCTCCTGGCTCCGCCCCACGCGGCCCCGCCCAGACGTTGCTCAGTCACGTGAGCGCGCGCCGCTCAGCCGAGGCGGGCACGGGGCGCCATGGCGGCTGAGCCTCAGCCCCCAGGCGTCGCTGTGTCGGCGGCCGCTTACCCGGAGTCGCCGGCCGAATATCCTGCGCGCCTGCAGGCCGGCGCGATGCGGCGCCGCTTCTGGGGCGTGTTCAACTGCCTGTGCGCCGGCGCGTTCGGGGCCCTAGCCGCCGCCTTCGCCAAGCTGGCCTTCGGCAGCGAGGTGCAACTCGGGGGTAGGGGGCGCCACTGCGGGGGGCGGGCGGGGTGGGGGAGCAGGACGGCATGCCGGGCTCCAACGGCCTCGCGCCTGCGCGTGCGCTCCGGGACAGGCGGGTCGCAGGTGTTGGGTCTTGTGGGCCCTGCTTCCGGGGGGAGGACCTCCACGACCACCTATCTTTAAGCCCCTCTTGCCTCCGCTTTCTCTGCTCTTTAAGTGAGATAGCTTCCTGCCCTTAACAAGAGCTGGCGAAGAATAGTCATCTGGGCAACTATAGGCCAGGGAGACTGAAAATCTTCGTAGCCTCCTGACTGAACACTAAGCACCTTCCTAGTGAGCCGATGGGCCTCTTGCCTGTCTTGTCCTGGGTCTTAGACCCTCCTGGGCGTCATAGAGATAGATGTTCATTCATTTGCAACCCAGAATTGAACCCTCATGTGTACCGGGGACTGGATGAATATTTATATTTTTGGCAATTTAGGGCCAATCCAGTGGGAATTGCTAGGCTGGAAACTTGCTTCCCCATGGGTATTCTTTGAGGAAGTCTTTCAGAGTGAAATGAAGGACTCTGGACCACCATGAAGTTTGGAGTCTTTCAGTTCTTTAGGCTTTCATTACACCTTGTTCAAGCAGGCTGCCCCTTGGCCCACAGGCTGCGTTTGTAAATGACCAGAAGCATCCCTTTCCAAAAGGCTAGATGTTTTGCTGCCAGGAAACCTGCAAGAAATATGAGTGAGCTTCACACGGGCTCGGCTTTGGGAGAACCTCCTGGCTACAGGCAGGTTCCTCGCTCTCCACCAACTAAGGTCTGCATATTCTTTGTAGGAGGCTCCTAAAGATCCCCTAGTCTTTTCAAGGTTCTCTCCTTTTGAAAAAAAAAAGTGAAGAAAAATCTGCAAGTTCTGTGGGTAATGCCTGGGATGACCAGTCAGACAGCCTTGGTGGCATATCCCAGTCTGTACTTTGTCCTGGTTAAGATTTTGGTGCTGGGGCTGGAGAGATGGCTTAGCAGTTTAGAGTACTGGCTGCTCTTGCAGAGGATCCGGGTTCAGTTCCCAGAACCCATATGGCAGCTAGCAACTGTTTGTACTCCAGTTCCAGGGGATCTGATGCCCTCTTTTGACCTCCATGGGCATTGCATGACTTGGGTGCACTTACATACCTACAGGCAATACACACTCATACACATAAAATAAAATGTCGGGTGTGGTGGTGCACGCCTGTAGTCCCAGCACTCGGGAGGCAGAGGCAGGCGGATCTCTGAGTTCGAGGCTGGCCTGGTCTACACAGTGAGTTCCAGGCCAGCTGGGGCTACAGGGAGACCCTGTTTCAAAAAAAATGGTCTTTTTGAAACAGGGTCTCCCTGTAGCCCCAGCTGGCCTGGAACTCACTGTGTAGACCAGGCCGGCCTCCAGCTCACAGGGATCCGCCTGCCTCTGCCTCCCGAGTGCTGGGACTACAGGCGTGCACCACCACGCCTGGCAAAAATAATTTAAAAATTTAAAAAAAAGAGATTATGGCGCCACACTGCCTGGGGCTCTTGTCCTGGCAACACTTTAGGCAAGTAACTTAATGGCCTCAGTTCTTTATCTCTAAAATGAAGTTCAGGAATAAAAGAGAATGCCTTGAGAACACTTACTGTAGGTACTAACACAGAAGCTGCCAGAGTGGGCTGTAACCTGTACATGCCGGTGTGTGAGTGGGAGGCAGGCTAGGCTCATTTATGCTTTATCCAGTCCTCCTGGCCCACTCTTTCTTTTTGGGTCTTTTCAAGACTCCCTGTAGCCCCAGCTGGTATGGTACTCAACACTTTGTAGACCAGGCTGACCTCCATCTCACTGACCTCCATCTCACAGAGATCCACCTGCCTCTGCCTCTGGAGTACTGGGATTCAAGTCCTGCATCATCACACCTGGGACTACTAGCTACTTGGTGCTTTGGGAATGGTGGTCAGTCATTGGCTACTGGAGGACTAATGGTTTGTGTTCCATAGAAAACACTGGCTCTGGATTAGCATTTTGCTTCTGCCAGGGTCATAAGGCCAGAAAGGATCTTTCCTGAGTTTGTGTCATCTATAAGACAAGTCTGCTACTGACAGAGTCAAGCCCTGCATGGGATGTTTTGAGGCCCCTCTGGGCTGGGAAAGACTTTTAGAAGGGATCTGATGGCAGCTGATGTGCTGCCACCCTGATGTGCTGTAAGAGGGCTGCAGGTCAGACTGCCCATGGCGGATGTAGCTGCAGTGACATTTTCTCCTGCAGGTGAACATTGGCTTATGTATCTTAGGCATTATTGCCATGGCGAGCACCAATTCTCTGATGTGGACCTTCTTTAGTCGGGGCCTCAGTTTCTCTATGTCTTCAGCCATTGCATCTGTCACAGTGACTTTTTCAAACATACTCAGCTCGGTGAGTAGCCTGGGGTATGGTGACCTTGTCCTTAGGGTTCTGGGTGAGTTATTCTTGGGGAGCCCCTGCTTTTCTAGGCTGAAGAAAGGGCAGGAAATGAATCAGAGTTGGGCTATGACTTCAGTCAAGGAGCATTTAAACATGGGAAAAGTAAATAGGAATAAAGCCTGATGTCAAAAGCCTATGTGCTCACTGCCACTCTAGGCTAGCACCCTCTTAAAGTCCCTCAGCACGTCTCCCGTAGGTCTGGAAGCTCTAGAATTACCTATAGGGCACGGATGGGTCAAGGTTCTTTCTGTAAGTGCAGAAGCTAGAAAGTGGAACTAAAGCCAGTCAGTCCTGAAGTGGAAGGAGGAAGGTCATAGTAGCCAAGTTTGGGGCTGTGACTACCATGCATCACCAGCTGTATGCTAGACCCGTTCTGCTGGGCTTCACTGCTTAGTTGGGGTAGCCCCTGAATTCCACAGAGGAGGCACGTGGATTGGCCTGATGAAGATAGTGGCTTGATGTAAAGCCCAGTCTTCTGGTCCCTAAGAGGAAGTTAGTAACAAAGGAGTGATCATGCCACCCTGGCAGGCCAATTCCCTCACAGCTGTCTCTGCCCACAGGCCTTCCTAGGGTACGTGCTGTATGGAGAGTGCCAGGAGGTCTTGTGGTGGGGAGGGGTGTTCCTCATCCTCTGTGGGCTCACCCTGATCCACAGGAAGTTCCCACCCACCTGGAAGGAAACTCTTCAGAAGCAGCAGTGATATCAGTTGGTTGGATGGACTCACTGGAAAGGTGACCATGACACCTAACCTGGGGTTGGAGTGTTGGATGCTTCTAGGTGGTGTGAGAGAGCAGCCTACTGACTGTCAGCCAGAGGGATATGCCAGACCGGCCAAAGCCTCCAACCTCACAGCCTGAGGGCTGAAGCACTGCTTCTGTGAGGGGAGACAACCACCTCAGCATGAGGCCTGAGCCCTTCAACATTTGTGAAATGTTTCAATTCTTGTGCTCCAGGGCCTCCGGAGTGAGCCCTAGCAGGCTCTGGAGATCTGGAGGGTGCTCAGCAACATGTCTGGTCCTGAAAACACACTCTGTAATTACAGTCCTGCCACCTGACCAAGGCTCCTCATACCTTCAGAGTCAGCAGCTGGTGGGGCTTCCTGACATAGCCATGTGATGTGTCAGGTAGTCTGTGCCATGCCTGTATAACACAGCAAGAGAAGGTCCCAGGCTATTAAATATTTCTTTGTAAGTTAAAGCTGCTAGGCATGGAATTTTAATTCTTTCTCTCTCACTTTGGGAGTGACAGTGAGCTGAACTTCCAGAGTAGGGTAGGCATGGAAGTTCTGTTCTCTCCCAAGTCTCCTGGGGTAGGACCCTGCAAATGAAGGACCTCAGAGTTCTTCTTCACTTTCCTTATTAGGTAAAGTGTCTCAGAGGGTGGCCTTACCTTTACTGTTAGGTGTCTTCTGTCTTTTTATTTTGTTTGTTTTATGTGTGTGTGAGTGCAGACATGTGCCACACGGCACACGTGGCGGTCATAGGAAAATTTTGGGGAGTCAGTTCTCACCTTCCATCTTGTTTAGGCAGGGTTTCTCATTTCAGATGCGAAGCATACTCCAGGCTAGCTGGCCTGCAGGCTTCTGGCTGATTCTGTCTCTGGCTCCCATCTTGCTGTAGAAGTGCTGGGATTACAGATGCATACCTCTACTTCTGGCATTTTATGTGGGTTTCAAGGATCAAACTCAGATCATCAGGTTTGTGCTTTTACTTGCTGAGCCATCTCCCCAGGGCCATCCTTTGACTTTCCTTCCCAGCTTTCCTTGACTCTTGATGTCTCACACCATGTGTATAATTGCTAGTGCAAAGCCATCTGAGCATTACTTTTCTGTCCCGGCACACAGCTTTAGCCTGGTACTTCTCTGCTTTGTTCCCCTGGGACTCCTAAAAGCCTCTTTCCTCCCCAGCTTTCCACATATATTCTCCACAGTTGCCAAGGCCCTGACTGCTGGGGCTGGGACAGGGGAGGATCCCATCTAGACACCTCATCTTGCCTGCACAGTGCCTGAATTTCCCCTCCCTTACCTTCTGCACAGGTGACAGAGGGACCTTACTGACACAGTTCCACAGCCTCTGCTAATTGGGGCTTGGCCCTCCCCCACCACTTTGCACAGGAATTTCTGTCTTGACATCTCTTTTATCCCTACATACTGGAGTCATCGCAGGGATCTGGTCTGAAAGGCTTCCAAATGAACAAGTCCAGAACTGCTGCTGTGCTTTTGTGCTTGCTCCTCTCCTCTGCCTTAGCCTCCCTTCACTCGCCCCTCTCCCTGGCAATAACCTCTGCTCCTATTTCTAAACCCTTTTAATCTCTCATGGGGGTCAAGGCAAAACTGTGATTCACAGATTGCTAGCTGCTTTGGCATTTTGAAGCCTCCTGACCACTCCCAAGAGGAAGGTGCTCTTGTTATTCTCATCATAGGTGAGGAAACTCAGGAGCAGGTGTAGTAACTTGCCCAATGTCACACAGCCCAGGCTCTCTGACTGTAGGCTTCGCTCTTAATCTTCACCACTCTCTTGCCTCCTACATCAAATCAAGCCCAGTGAGGCCCAGCCACACAATGTTCCCAAGTCTCAGATCCCTTTTGTCACCAGGCTCTCCTAGTCTGTATGTTCCACCTCCTTATCTACTCTGATCCCATCATTCTACCAGTGAGGAAGATGAAAGGCATTCAAGGCTCCATAAGGTGTGTTCCCATGTGGGCCAAGCACCAGCTAAATCCAAGTGTTACGGCTGCTTAGAGCCACTGGTAAGGCTCCCTGGGTCAGGCCATGACACAGGGCAGAAGAAGATCATCTTGGCCCAGGCACTGTCCTGAGGGAACCCTGCCTCCCATCTAGATATCAGCTGGATGCATAGAGATGATTGATATTGACTCTCATCAATAGATAAGCCTACAGGAAAACTAAAAGATCGAGATATTTTCATAAGGGGAGGATGAGTCATTTTCTAGAAAGAGAGTGGTACACCTCTGGAATCATCTGAGAAGACGGGAAAAGTTCATATTTTTTTCAGTGCAGAGGGTGGTTCTCTTACAAAGAGAATAAACTGTGACAATATTTGTGTTTCTAATGTGTGCCCTGGATGATGACTTGAGCTTTATTTTGTTTGCTTTGGAGCTAGATATTTGATACCAGGCTTTGTGGCCTTGATAGAGGGCAGTTACTGTTTCTTTATTTTACTTTCCTTTTTTTTTTTTTGGAGATAGGGCAGACCTTGAACTTGCTATGTAGACCAGACTGGCCTTGAACTCACAGAGATCCATCTGCCTCTGCCTCCCAAGTGCTAAGATGAGAGGCGCGTGCCCACATGCCTGGCTTACTTGCTTCTATTTTTGAAAATGTACAACTCGGTAGTTTTGCAGTATATACCCACAAGGTTTTCAACCATTGTCACTAATTCTAGAACATCTTTCTCACTACCAAAATAAAGTCATACCTATTAGTAGTCACTCTCTGTTCCATGCCCTACCCCACCCCAGCCCCTGTAATCACAAGTCTTTTTGTCTCTATGGATTTGCCTATTCTAGACATGTCATTAAAGTGGAATCATTTACTGTATGTCTTTTTGTGTTGCTTTTTTACCTACAGTGCTGTTTCTAAGGCATACTACTGTTGTAGCCGTAACAATACGGCTTTCTGTGGCTCAGTGCTATCCTATCCTGCAGATAAACCATTTTATCTGTCCATTGATCATGTGTTGGACACACAGGTTATTTCCATTTTGGAGTATTTGCAATGCTGGTATAAATACTAGTATACAAGGTGTTCTGTGAGCATGTGACTTCAACTCTGTTTGGTATATGCCTAGAAATGGAATTACTGGGGGATAGGATAACCCTGTTTAACTTTTTGAGGACTTTTATACTGTGCCTTTTACACCTGCACCATTTTACAGCCCAACCATCCAAGCATGAGCACCCCAGTTTCTCCTCTTCCTTGCTAACACTATTATTCATCTTTTTCAGTTTTTCAAATACGTTTGTTAATTGTGATAAAATACTCTGACAAATGCAGCTTAAAGGAGAAGGGTCCATTCTAGCTCACAACTCAAGGATACAGTCCATAATTCTGGTGCAGTCAGGGTGGCAGGAGCTTGAAGCAGCTGGTCATGTTGCATCCACAATCAGGAAGAGAGCGTGGTGAATGCTTGCCTGCTACTCAGCTCCTTTGCTCCACTTACCCAGTTGAGGATCCCACCCAGTAAATGGTACCATCTACAGGGGCGGGTCTTCCACAACAGCCATGCCCAGGGGCCCATCTCCCAGGTGATTCTGTGGTCCTACTAACACCAACCATGATAGCCTTCCTCCTGGTGCCTATTGTAGCTTTTATGTATTTCTATAGTGAGTAACCATGCCAAGCATCCTTTCTGTGCTTATTAATAATTTGTGTATCTTTGGGAAAATGACTTTTTAGGGTCTTTGGCCATTTTGAAAATTTAGATTTGGGGCGCTGGAAAGGTTGCTCAGTGGTTAAGAACACTTGCTATTCTTCCAGAGGACCTGGGTTTGATTCCTAGCACCCAGATGGTGCTACCTAACGACAGTAACAACAGTTTGTAACTCCATTTCCAGGATATCCAGCACTCTTCTGGCCTCTGCAGGCCATTGCACGTATGTGGTGTACTTAAATATCTGCCAGCAAAACACATACACACAAAATAAAAATAAGTAAAATATTTTAAAATTTAGGCTTGGGAGAGTTATTTTTGGTTTTTGAGATGGCCTCATATAGATCAGGCTGATCTCAAACTCAAGGCAATCCTCTTGACTTAGCCTCCCTCATGCTGGTAGCCTGTCTATGCAAGGAATTGTTAGAGGTGACCCCCATCTCCTCAGGTTTTCTTAGTGGAAAGACAGGCAGCTTGGGAAGCTAGGCAGCACTGAGGTAAGGTGAGAAGGGATTGAGGGCAGCAGAACAGATCCTCACAGCTAGCCCAGGCTATACTTCCTGCTCAAGAGGAGTAGCTCATAGTCCTGGCCAAAGCCTCCCACACTCATTTCTGCCATGACAGTTGTTCACTGACCTGAGATATTTATGATCTCTGTGCCCCCACTTTGTCACACTACCCTCCAAAAACCAGTCCACTCTCAGATAAGGGAGGCTCATCAGGACCAAGCGTCCGTCTCATCATCATTGACACCCCACCCCCATCCCCAGCTACTTCCAGCCGTTTGTCTTCCGCTCTCCCTAGAGAGTAAAGGATCATGGCTCAGTCTTTAACCCCCTCTCAAAAGGTAAAAACCAGCATTCCCCTCTGTCCCAGCACAGCAACCAAGAACACAAAGCACAGTAACTGGGAGCTGTGAGTCTGTGTGTTGACAGAGACAGACTGGGTATACACATGCCACACTGTACACATGGAGGTCAGAGGACAACCTTGGGTGTTTGTCCTCCCTGCAAGCCTTGGGGATTCTGTCTTTGTCTCCCCTCTCACTAAAGAAACACTGGGATTACAGATGTGCACTTACCCTGCCCAGCTTTGCATGGGCCCTGGGGATTTGAACTCTGGTCTTCACATGTGCTTGGGAAATGCTTTATCCACTGAGCCATCTCCCCAACCCCAGCTTTGACTTTTTTTTTTTTTTTTGGTCTTTTTGAGACGGGGTCTCCCTGTAGCCCCAGCTGGCCTGGAATTCGCTGTTGAGACCAGGCTAACACAGAGATCTGCCCACCGCTGCCTCCTGAGTGCCATGTTTAATGTCGTGTGCCACCACACCTGGCCTAGCTTTGACCTTTTTAAACTGGGTTATTTATAGTTTTTATTAAGTGGTAATTCTCAAATTCTACAAAGTCTAGCTAAATGTCCCTTAGCTATATAATTTGCAAATACTTTCTCTCATTTTGGGAGTTGTCTTTTCACTTCCTTGATGGTGCCTTTTGAAATATAAGAGATTTCTTTTGTTTTTGAAACGATCTCCCTGTAGCCCCAGCTGACCTGGACCTCTTTATGTAGACTAGGCTGGTCTTGTTAGGGTCCGTGACTCGGTGGGTCTCTTCAGGAGAACAAATACACGAGTATGGAGATGCAAAAATCAAACAGAGTTTTACTAAACCAGCTAGCTGGGGCCGACCGACCGTCCTTCCAAGACACGCAGGTCTGGTTAGAGCGATCGACCCCGAGGCAATTTCAGGTAAAGATTATATAGGTTCCCACAACCATTACACAAAAGCCCGCATTTATACAACCAATAGTTTCAAAGCAAGTATTTCACAAACCAATAACTTCAAAACAAGAAAAATGTTACAACTCCCTTCAGGTGTCTCAATCGGGGAGGGGAGGGATGGGTGGTATGTGTCTGGCGCGACCCTTCCCTGTTATCTTGTGTAAGCAGACATGCCTACGTGACACGACACAGATCAGACAGGTCAGGCTCCGGGGGCTGCAGCACTTGCCCCTATCTCCAGATGCCTGTGTCTCCGGTTGAGTTAATTGGTTACAAGCAGTAAATTCAGACAAGCAGTAAATTCAAACAAGCAGTAAATTCCTCTTTCCCTAACAGTCTCAGGCTCACAAAGATCCAGCTGTCTCTGCCTCCTGAGTGCTGGGATGAAAGGTGTGTGCTACCACAGCTGGTGAAACATAGGAGTTTTTAATGTTGATGAACTCAAATTGACCTTTTTTTTTCCTTTTACTTATGCATTTGATATCGTATCAAAGAATCTAGCCAAATAAGAATGTGACATATGCCAGATAATGCCAGGAATGTTGTAGGTTATTGAGATGACTGTCCTTTTGACTCTAGAGAGTTGACCCAACTAACATTTTAAAGGGTTCATTTATATTGAGAACATTCCATAGAAGACAAGACCAGAGTAGCAGGAAGACCCATCAAAGGTCCCTGCTGCCATCCAGGTGAGGGGGAAGGAAGCTTTGGTAGGAATGTTAAGTGATCAAAATCTAAGGCATTTTATTTTTATTTTATGTGTATGAGTGTTTCATTTGTATGTATGTGTATGCACACCACGTGCATGCCTGGTGCCCTCGGAGGCCAGAAAAGGATGTCAGATCCGTTGGACCTGGAGTTACAGGTAGTAGTGAGCCACCCAACATGGGTGCTGGGAGCCAAACTCCAGTCCTCAGACGAACAGGAAGCACTCGTAACCACTGATACATCTCTAACCCTCCCTCCACCAAGGCATTTCTATGACAGAGCCAGCAATCAGGAATGGCTAAGTGTGGGTATGAGAGAAAGAGGCATCATGGTTTGGGTGTAAGCAATTGGAAGAATGAAAATGGCAATAATGAAATAAAGAAAAGCTGTGAGAAGAATGTAACTACAGGAGTATTGAGACCTTAATGTGGAGCTGGGGATGTAGTTCAGTGGTAGAGCTTTTGTCTGGCATGTACAAATACAAAGCCCTGGGGTCAATTCCCAGCACACGCACACACAGTAGTTTGTAGTACAGCCAGGTAAAGGTGAAGAGGTGGTGGAACATAAGGTATTGAGGTCAGGGAGAAGCCTGGAAATCGTCAGCACAGAAAAGGTATCTGAAGGCACAAGATCCTCCAAGGAGAAGAGGCCCAGGGACTGAGCCCAGGCAGTCTAGTCCTTAAAAGTCAAGGAGCTGCCACAAAAGTGGCTAGGTGAGTAAAAAGAAAGCCCTAGTGAGGTAGGACACCCAGGCCAAGAGTATCCACCTGGAGTCATCTCCAGAGAGAGCAGTTATCACCCAGGCTAAAGCTGCTGAAGAGTAGAGTCAATGGAAGCTTGAGAAATGACCACCGGATTATCAGATGACTGACAGGAGCAGCTCTGAGGAGTGTTGAGGGCAAGAGCTAGCTTGACTGGATTAGATTCAAGAGGAAATGGAGGGTCATCTCCATTGGTTCAGAAACTGTATCTGACAGATTTCCACTCCCTTTCATATTAAACAAAAATAATGTGAGATAGGAGAAAACTTCCTTAATATGACATAAGCATCGTGTGCACGGTCTGTAGCTAACAAGGGAGTGGTGGAGAGCTTTCCAGTAAGTTTGGAAACAGGACAGGGCTTCTAGCTCTCACCCTTCTATTAGTACAAGTACTACAAGTACTATTTGGAACAGCTCACCAACAAGAAATCCAAGGCAGCCAACTTGGAAAGAAAGAAGTAAAACTAACTCTTTTCACAGGTCTTACATGTTTTAAAAAAAAAAAAAAAGTGCTGAAAAATTAGAATAAGCAAAATCAGCAAAGCTACAGAATCCAAAAATCAGTTATATATGATGTACTAGTAATTATCTATCTGAAAGGGGAAGTTATAAACAATTCCACTTACAATAGCATCAAAAAAAAGAAATAATGAGGACTAAACTGATCCAGGAAAGTAAAAGATTTGTGCACTGAAAACTACAAACCATTGTTGGAAAAAATTAGAGAATAAATAAATAAATGGAAAGACATCTAAATGTTTATGGTTTGGAAATTCTTATTAAGATGACAATTCTACCCCTATAGTGCTCTACAGATTCAATATAGTTCTGAAATCCCAATGTTTTTTTTCCCCCATTACAAATAGACATCCTAAAATTCATACTTAAAAGACCTTGATAGTCAAAACATCTTGAAAAAGAA